ATATAAAGTAGAGGAAGATGGGCACAGATATTAGCTCAGGGCCAATCTTCCTCAGCAAAAAGAGGAGGGTTGGTGGTAGATGTTAGCTCAAGGCTAATCTTCCTCAAGAATACATTAACAAAATGAAGGATAAAAATCGTGATTATCTCAACAGATGAATAAAAAGCATTTGACAAAATACAACATCCTTTCATAAAAAAAAAATTCTTAACAAATTGGGTACAGAAGAGGCATACATCAACATGATAAAGGCCTTGTATGACAAGCCCGTAGCTAAAATCATACTCAAGGGTGAAAGGTTGAAAGCTTTTTCTCTAAGATCAGAAAGAAGACAAGGGTGTCTATGCTCGCCATTTCTTTCAACACAGTACTGGAAGTCCTAGCCAGAGCAATCAGCCAAGAAAAAGAAATAAAAGGCATTCAAATCAGAATACAGGGAAAATTGGGGGCCTGCTCCATGATGTAGTGGTTAACTTTGGTACATTCTGCTTCAGTGGCCCAGGTTCGTGGGTTCAGATCCCAGGCATGGACCTACACCACTTGCCAGCCACACTGTGGTGGCAACCCACATATAAAGTAGAGGAAGACTGGCACAGATGCTAGCTCAGGGCTATCTTCCTCAAGCAAAACATGGGTATTGTTGGCAACAGATGTTAGCTGAGGGCTAATCTTCCTTAGCAAATAAACAAATGAATAAATAATTTTTTTAAGAAAAGAAAGTAAATTATCTTTGCAAATGACATGATCTTATATAAAGGAAATCCTAAAGACTCCACCAAAAAAACTGTTAGAACTATCAAAAAATTCAGTAAAGTTGCAGGATACAAAATCAACATACAGAAATCAGTTGCATTTATATACATTAACGATGAAACATCTGAAAAACAAATAAAGAAAACCATCCCATTCACAATAGCATCAAAAACAAGAAAAAATTTAGAAATAAATTTAACCAAGGAGGTGAAAGATCTGTACCCTGAAAACTATAGGACTTTGATGGAAGAAGTTGAAGAAGACACCAATAAATGTAAAGATAGTCTGTACTCATGGATTAGAAAAGGTAATATTGTAAAAATGTCCATACTACCCAAAGCTATTAATAGATTCAATGCAATTCCTATCAAAATTCCAATGGCATTTTTCACAGAAATAGAAAAAAAAAACCCTAAAATTTGTATGGAACCACAAAAGACCCTGAATAGGCAACAATCCTGAGAAAGAAGAACAAAGCTGGAAGCATCACACTTCCTGATTTCAAACTATACTACAAAGTTATAGCAATCAAAACAGAATGGTATTGCTATAAAAACAGACAGCTTGACTAATGGAGCAGAATGAACAGCTCAGAAATAAATCCTCACGTATATGGTCAACAAATATTTGACAAGGGAGCCAAGAGTGCTCAATGGGGAAATGGCATAAAGTGTCATTGAATATCAGGTTCACTTACAAGCTGCCCCAGTAGCCATCAGTGAAGATTTTCTCATTGGTCACTGTCACCTTTCCCTAGGAGTCATAGTTTAAAGAAATGGTTTAAGAGGTTCCTCACAAGAAATCCCAATTTTTTTAGAAGAAAAACAAAAGACTAATGATAAAAAAATCTCTTCTCACATTTGCACTGGTTTTAAATTCCCCAGTCTTAGAAAATGAAATCAGAATGGAAATGGACAATTTGACTAGATTAGTCAAATAAATGACTTCTGCTATCTTGGATTTCCTTCCACATCAATTAAGGTCACTCCATATCATGATCAGGTCATGTAAGGCATTTCCTTCATAGTACCAACCATCTGGTCATTGCACTGAAAGACTGCAGGAAAATTTAGTGGATTTAGTTTTAAAGGGATCAACAGAACATAGTTTCCTGATCTCTGTGTTGTAGCTCTTAATTTAAGTTACAGAGGAAATATTTGTTCACAAACATGTCTCAGTTTCAGAATTAGAGTCAAAGACAGAACTTCTCTTCATTACACTGATCCCCACAGAGGATGATTTCTTAATAGAATGCAATCTGCAATGGAAAGCCTCCTGAAATTTACCCAGTATTTCCCCCTGGATTCTCTGTTTCCTCAACTCCAGCCACCCCCTAGGAGCCAATCTACTAAAACCTGGATGAGTCCGAAAGATTGGAAAGAGGGTGCTCTCCTGGGGAAACTTGAGGAAGCCACTGAGATCACGAGGGGAGAGACATGGAATTTTAGAGTAATCCCTGAGAGGAAACATAGATTAAACATTGCTTCACGTGCTAAACATCTCAGCAAACTCCTAGGAAAGAAGCCTCTGGAGCCTTTAGAAATGAAGGAAGTCCAATGAACCACATATAATGGCTTGACCTGAAGTTTTCTTTATCAGAGCCAATGAGAAGAAGATGCCTTTATGTTCAACTGGACAGTTCCCATCCCTCTTTCCAAGCTGAGCCAGAAAATCCATCATTGTATGTAAGAGAAAAGGACTGATTGTCCATTTTTCAACCACTGCTGTGATATACTAGAAAGTGCCTTTTACTTTATAAATCAGATTAGTCATTGTCCCTCTGTAGTAGTAGAGTGTAAATGTTCCATATGTGAATACAGGACCCTTAACATTCATTGGGTAAAAGTCATGAACCTTCAGTGAAGCCTATCTGTAAAATAACCAGTTAGAATAGATCATCTGCATCATTTTTTTCCAATTCTATGATTTTGTGATTATTAGGGACCATCTTTTTGAAAATAATCTCACTTTCCAGGAGTAATCATGTGGTATACTCTTCTCTCAGACTACCTGAGAAGAGAGTCTACCAAGTGAGGGACATTTGGAAGGAAGCTATTTGTTTTTATTTATTTATTTTTATTGTGGTACCGTTGGATTATAACATTGTATAGTTTTCAGATGTACATCGTAATATATTTCAAATTCTGTTTAGATTACATCATGCTTACCACCCAAAGACTAATTACGGTCCATCACCACACATGTGAACCTAATCACCCCTTTTGCCCTGGAAGGAGGCTATTTAATCAAGCTATTATTCTTGAGGTGCGTGGACTGTTGAATTGATTGGTTGGTTGGTTGGTTTCCTGTATCGGAAAGTAGTGTATAAAAAATCTGTTCCCTTAGGATTGTAGTTCATTTGATGATTTATGAATCTCAAAAGCATGAGAAACAGTATGTTTATAGCATTTAAATGGTGGATATTCCATTCTAATACCCTAACTCTTCCCAGCAAGTGAGTTTGGAGGCTTTGGAGGTTGAGGTTATGCAGAAATTTATGGAGTCAGTGTATTCCATCAATGGTTAAAATGAAAATTGATTACTTTGGCTTTTCCATTAAGCTCCCCACTCTTCATTAATCCCATTATTTATCTACACTTTCACCAAAGGCTACGGGAAAAATAATGGTGCTGCTGATAAATCTTACAAGGTGTGGTGGTAGAAAAGATGAAATAATGTGTGAAGTTGTCAGTGTATAATGGAGAGTGTCTTGAACTGTTATTCACATTAAGTAGGCATGGTCCATTTTTTCAGAAAGGACAGAAATACAGATCTCATGTTTCTGGTTCCTGATTTAGATCTGTGAGCCTGTACTTAGTTCCCGACCTGTAGCAGGGAAAGTGATTTATTTATGCCCCATAAATAACAGTATGGGAATCATCTATTGAGCAACTTATTCAGTGAAGGTAGTAAACAAATATCTTTTGAAGTCAACATTGATTGGAAACTGGACAACTTTAGAACTTGGATGCTCAAGCCTCCTTTTTTAATGCTTCCTTAAAAACCACCAAAAGGGGACTAGTGATATTGAAGTCCAAATCTTGGTTCTCAAAGATCGCATGTGAGCCTTCTTTCAAATTCTCTGTCTTTTGCCTGTCAAATTTCTTTCCCTTTCATTCCTGAAAAGTTGTGACTGGTGACTTCCAATATACAAGGTGAGATATCTGAATTTAAAAAGAAAACTCAATATAGAAACTATTTTATTTTTTGAGAGTCTTAATTGGTGCTTTTTTAATACTAATCAATTACAAAGTTACTCTGTTGTTTAAACACAAAGATTTGTACATTTTTGTTCAATTCTTAAATACAAAGCTTTAAGTACTACTGAAAAGTACATGGCTGTCCAAATATTTGAAAACATTCTCTCTTCTCTTTAAGAAAACAAAATTAATTCTACCAGATAAAATTGCAGATAAAACCCCATTTGGTCTCATATTATTGTTTTTATCCCGCAAAAATGCTTACTAAATGAACAAACCTTTGTATTGAAAACACCATTTTCTTTATTTTATCTAGGTAGGATCTGAACATGAAAAGTAAGATAGCTCATTTTTGTTTAGTATGTATAAAAATTATGAAAATAAACACTTGCAAATGAGATATTTGAAAAATAATATTCTCATTTTCTTAGAGCAAAGATATCTGATATGTTCAGTCTTCTGTAGATTTTTTTAGGTGTCACTCAACTGATTAGAGTCATATTTTAAGAGAAAATCTTTAAAGGAAAGTTTAAGAAAAGCCTTGACTCCTGAATGCAATAATGTCTGTGACAATTAATTCATTTGATTAGACTATTCTGAAAATCCACTGTCCTGGAATAAGTTTTTCTCAATGTGTAATTCTGTTCTGTTGCCAAAGGTTTAACCCAACCTCACATCAGCTGTCCTCAAAATATATGTCATGTTTTTTTTTTTTCAACAAGGTAAGCTGAACAAAAGAAAGTAGATGAGTTTTTGGGTGAAGATTCATAATCAACTTTAGAAAAACAAACCAAAATCAGAATAGGTTTTCTTAAGGATCAAAGTGAAAAAGAAATTTCTGTTTGTACCACTGATGTGGAAAATTCTTGCTGCATTGGATTCTAGCAAAATAATACTGAGATTTAGAACCATAATCAATTCAAAATAAGGTGGGATTTATTCCCACCTGGTCTCAAAATAGCTCATATATTTTCCTGTAGAGTTTAAGTTCCTTTCTCAGTAAAGCCCTTGAGATATGTAGGAAGCAAAGCAACTTGGGTTACACTCATGTCTTTCTTCCTTGTAGATTTAAGACCCATGAACAACAGGTCAGCAACACACATTGTGACTGAGTTTGTTCTCCTGGGGTTCCCTGGCTGCTGGGAGATACAGATTTTCCTCTTCTCACTGTTTTTGGTGGCTTATATCTTGACCTTGCTGGGGAATGGAGCCATTATCTGTGCAGTGAGATGGGACCCACGGCTACACACCCCCATGTACTTTCTGCTGGGAAACTTTGCCTTCCTTGAGATCTGGTATGTTTCCTCCACTGTTCCTAACATGCTAGCCAACATTCTCTCCAAAACCAAGGCCATCTCATTTTCCGGCTGCTTCCTCCAGTTCTATTTCTTCTTTTCCCTGGGCACAACTGAATGTCTTTTCCTGGCAATAATGGCTTATGATCGGTACCTGGCCATCTGCCGACCACTGCACTATCCTACCATCATGACTGGGAAGCTCTGTGGAAAGCTGGTGTCTATCTGCTGGCTCATTGGATTTCTTGGTTACCCAATCCCCATTTTCTTCATCTCCCAACTCCCCTTCTGTGGACCCAATATCATTGATCACTTCTTGTGTGACATGGACCCACTGATGGCTCTGTCCTGTGCTCCAGCTCCCATTATTGAATTTATTTTCTATACTCAGAGCTCCCTTGTCCTCTTTTTCACTATTACATATATTCTTCTATCATATACCATGTTGCTCAGAGCTGTTTTTCAGATCCCTTCTGCAGCTAGCCAGAAAAAGGCCCTCTCCACCTGTGGTTCCCATTTAGCTGTGGTGTCTCTTTTCTATGGGACAGTCATGGTAATGTATGTGAGTCCTACATATGGCATCCCAACTTGCATGCAGAAGATCTTCACACTGGTATATTCAGTAATGACTCCTCTCTTTAATCCCCTGATCTATAGTCTTCGTAATAAGGACATGAAACTTGCCCTGAGAAATGTTCTACTTGGAAGGAGAATTAGTCAAATTTCTTGAGCCAAAGATACGCCATATTTCCAAGTTCTAATGAATAATAAGATGGAGATTTATAAGTTCTTTCAGTGGTCTTTCAGTCCTCACTCTGAGTAGTTAGAGGCCATATTTTTTTCCTGGAATGTCCATAGCTTAAATGACTATGTTGACTACAAAAACCTTAATTCAATGGACTTCACCATGCAGTGAAATTTTTTTAAAGGCTGTTCTTATTGGAATGATGAAATGGGATTTCTATATGAGAGAAGTTAGACTTTTCTGAACGATTTCTCATCGGTTTTAGGACAAGTCTAATGACGTTTATCAGATAGTTAAAGATGCAGTGACTTTTTTAACAGTTATATTTAGGTATAATTGGTATACAAAAGACTGCACATATTTAATGTATATTAAATGTTCAGTGACTTTTAACTAGCCATGAGACGTTCCTGTCACCTTTAACAGATGCTCCTTTCTTATACCTAGCCTAAAAAATCTTATCTAAATACACTTTCACTCTATTAAAAGAAAGAGGGAGAGGCCAACCCAGTGGCATAGTGGTTCAGTTCACACACTCCATCCAATTCAGTGGCCAGGGTTTGAGGGTTTGGATCCTGGGTACAGACCTAGCACCATTCATCAAGCCACACTGTGGCAGCATCCCACATGAAATAGAGGAAGATTGGCACAGATGTTAGCTCAGGGCCAATATTCCTCACAAACAAAAACAAAAAAAAAAAAAAGAGGGGGAAAAAACATCTTTGTACCAGGAGGAATTCTTTCAGCAAATTTCCTTAGAGGTATAGTTCCTGTGTGGTAGGTTTGAAACAAAACCTGGATACACGCTAAATAATAATTTAGCTTTTAACTTTAAGTGCTTTTATCACTTATTACAAATACCACACTGTAGTGTAATTTATTTATTTACATGTACTTCCCCTTGAGAAAGCTCCTTAAGGACAGGAATTGCCTTTTTTATTTCTGGATCCCCAACGCACAGTGCCAGAGAGGAAAGCAGCCTGCAGAAGCCAGGAACTGGCCTGGCACTATCAGCTAGGTCATGGTGTTACCAGGAGCTGGCCTGGCACTCTCAGCCAGGCCATGGTGTAATACTGTTGAATGTAAAAAATCTCACATAACATCAACGTCAGACAAGGCTTCTATGTAAGCATGATGGATCAAGACAAAACAAGAACACTCTATAATCATGTCTGAGCACAGACAAAATCAAGAACACTGTCCCAACCACAAAAAATGACCAAACAACTCCCTCTTTAGGCAAATATGAGTGACTACTGCCTCTTAACTAAGTATGGCTTTAGCCCAACTGCCTTCTAGATAAAAATTGAGATACCCATGGAGCCTGCCCGGTGGTGCTGCTGTTAAGTGCACACATTTGGCTTTGGCAGCCCGGGGTTCACCAGTTCAGACCTGGGGTGCGGACATGGCACCGCTTGTCAAGCTGTACTGTGGCAGGCGTCCCGCATATAAAGGAGAGGAAGATGGGCACGGATGTTACCTCAGGGCCAGTCTTCCTCAGCAAAAAGAGGAGGATTGGGAGCAGTTGTTAGCTCAAGGCTAATTTTCCTCAAAAAAGTAAATAAATAAATAAATTGAGATACCCAATCATAGAACTTTCCTCCACTTTCTGACTGCATCCAGAGAGAACCTCTACTTCCTTAAATTCTCCCCAAAGTCAACTAACACAAGCCCAAATCATATAGTAAATCCCTTCTAAACATCTTACTTAGATGCCCCATGCTCCTCATTCCAAAAATCTATGTTCTCCCTCTTTGCAAAAAACGAATACACCCATCTTTGCTCAACTACAGGTGTGTTCCTAACCTTCTTTGCATGTTTCGGAATCAACAGTAGTACAATTCCTAGCAGAGAGTAAGCATTCAAAATGTTTTTTAAATACTCTTATCTCAATTTTTTTACTTACAAAATAATATGTAGTTATTGTAACAAAATCAAGCAATGAGGAAGTATATAAAGATGATGGATTTCCCATATTCACTGTCATCCCCACTAATTCTTCTCTCTGCTCCTCAGAGTCAACATATCCCAATTCCTCTGCCTGGCCTTCAACACCCTTCATAATATAGCCCCACTAACTCTATTTTGTTTTCCATCACTTTTCAACATGAACCCTCATCTCTAATAAGGCTAGACACTTAACTTCTCCACTCCCTCATCTCCACACCTTTGCTTGGGCTTCTTTTTAATCCTGGAGAGCTTTGCCTCGTCTTCTGCTATGTACTTGAGAAAGATATTTAACACTTAGATTCTTGGGTCTTATTTTGTAAAATGGGTTTATGACTTATATCTTGTGATAATAGCATAAGGATTAAGTGAGACAATTTATACAAGGACCATAGCACAGTAAAAGACAAATAGGAGGTTCTCAGCACATGTTTGTTCCCCTCCTTCCTATCTTTCAAATCTGACCAGGGATAATTTGCTCGTTGTTCTATCAAATTTTCACTAGGCTCATGCAAACTTTTGCTGCCAAATAATATACATGTATATGTAACTAATGCCTTAGTTAAAGTGCTAACTCTGGAGTCAGACTTGTCATATCCTGGCTTCTTGGCTAGCTGTGTGACCTTGGGCAAGTTGCTTGAACGCTACAAACTTCAGCTACATCAACATTAAAATGTCGTGATATCTTTCAAAATCAGTACATATAATTTTACCTCATTCTATTTAACAGGCACATTGTGTTCCATTATATAAACATATCAAAATTTATTTACCCGTTACTCAATCAAGACAATTATATCCAACATTCTACAGTTAAGACAATGTTGCAATTAATGTCCTTTAATATAAGTCTTTATACATTCACATCAGTAGTCCATAAATTAGAGGCAGGATTTCTGGGACATAGGAAATGTATATTTTTAATTACGAGAAATACTGCTAAATTAGATGCAGCTAAATAGTGTATGAGTTTTCAACAAACAGTACTGGGAAAACTAGATATCCACATGCAAAAGAATGAAGTTGGATACCTACCTCATGCCACATACAAAAATTAACTCAAAATGGATCAAAGACCTAAATGTAAGAGCTAACCTATGAAACTCTTAGAAGAAAACATAGATTTGAATCTTTGTGACCTTGGATTATGCAAATTTTTTAGATATAACACCAAAAATACAAGCAATAAAAGAAAAAAATAGATAAACTGGACTTCATCAAAATTTTTAAATTTTGTACTTCAAAGGATACTATCGAGAGAGTGAAAGGTCACAGAATGGGAAAAAATATTTGCAGATCATATATCTGATATTCTAGCATCCAGAATGTATAAAAAACTCATAAAACTCAACAATAGAAAGACAAATAACAATTTTTAAAATGCATAAAAGATTTGAACAGACATTTCTCCAAAGAAGATATACAAATGGCCAATGAGTACATGAAAATGCTCAACATCATTCATCATTAGGGCAAGGTAAATCAAAATCACAGTGGGGTACCACTTCAGACTCACTAGCATGGCTAGAATCAAAAAGATAGACAACAATTCTGGAAAAATTAGAGCACTCACACATTGCTGGAAGAAATGTAAATTAGAGTTTACCATATGACCCAGCAATTTCATCATAAGTATAATCTCAAGAGAATTAAAAATATATGTTCAAGCAAAATGTGTATACGAATGTTCATAACAACATTATTCATAATAGTCAAAAAGTAAAACAACCTAAACGTCCATGGGTTGATGAATGGAAAACAAAATGTGGTATATATGTACAATGGAATATTATTCAGCCATAAAACGGAGTTAAGTATGATACTTGCTACAACATGAATGAACTTGGAAACCATTATGCTAAGTGAAACAAGCCAGACACAGAAGGCCACATATTCCATGATTCTATTTACATAAAATGCCCAGAATAGGCAAATCTATAGAGACAGAAAGTAGATTAGTTCTTGCCAAGGACTGGGCAGAGGGAAGAATGGGGGACTACTGCTAATGTGTAACCAGTTTCTTTTAGGGATGATGAAGATGTTCTAGCGTCAGATAGTGGTGATTGTTGCACAACCTTGTGAAAGACTGAAAAATACCTACACTTTAAAAGGATGAATTTTATGCTAGGTGAATTATATCTTACTAAAAAATTTCTATGAAAGTGCTCGTTTACCCACAGCCTTTGCAGCGCTGGCCCAGTGGCGCAGCAGTTAAGTGCACACGTTCCGCTTCAGCGGCCTGGGGTTCGCTGGCTCGGATCCCGGGTGCGGACGTGGCACCGCTTGGCAAGCCATGCTATGGCAGGTGTCCCACATATAAAGTAGAGGAAGATGGGCACGGGTGTTAGCTCAGGGCCAGTCTTCCTCAGCAAAAAGGGGAGGATTGGTGGCAGATGTTAGCGCAAGGCTAATCTTCCTCAAAAAAAAAAAAACCCACAGCCTTTGCAGTGCTGGATCTTATCACTCTTTCTCATCTGGTTGACAATATGAGAGGTGAGATTGGTAATGTATTAATTTTCCTTCCTTGAATTTAACATTAAGTGCCACAAGAGATTAGGAAAATGACATGTCAGTGTATGCTTTAGACAGAAATTTATTCAAGGAGAAAGTGGTGGTTGATCTGTGACTTAGAGATAGGAAGGAGAGGGGAACAAATGTGCTGAGACCCTCTCATGTGTCTTTAACTGGGCTATGGTCCTGACATAAACTGTCTCGTTTAATCCCAATGACATCATTACAAGAATTGTTTATACCCACTTTACAGAATAAGACCTCGAGAACCTAAGTGTTAAGTACCTTTCTCAAGGTGCATGGCAAAAGACAAGGTGAGGCTCTCCAGATTTAAGGAACAGCTAAACAAAGGTGTGGAGAGGATAGAGAGTGGAGTAAAGTGAGTAGCCTGACTAGAGATGAGGGTTAGTGTTAGGAAACAATGGAAAACAAAGTAGGTTTAGTGGGGCCGTGTTATGAGGGTGCTGAACACCAGACAGAGGAATTAGGTATGTTGACTCTGAAGAGCAAAGAGAAGGGCTGATAAA